AGTGCACAAGTCAGTTATTGTCCGTAATCATCATCGTCATCACGGATCCACACTTCCTCCAGACTTGGCACCACTGATAGGAAGCTGCGTTAACTTCTTTCTGTTTCTGTTTTTAAGCCTTCAATAGAAGAACAAGAAAAGGCTGCTGACAGTCCAAAATGATGAATTTTTCGCCCAGAAGGACGATTCACTCTACAAGTCTGGTCATCGCCGTTACACCAATCAACAATTAAATAACTGTCCTAACAGAAGCACAAATAGTGTTATGTTATCGATTATTCGCTGCGATTTAGACTTATTTTGCGAGCTATAGTTCAAATTTAAACGAACATTAAAGCACGACAAAAACGAGGACGAGAATAAAAAAGACAAAATTCAGCGCTGAAGTCTGTCCTTTTCTATTCTCGTCCCCGTTTTCGTCGCACTAACATTCTTTCAAGGTGAAAGCACACCAACTCGTCCAATCGACCGTTCTGATGCTATAGTTCAAGCCCAAATTGAATGTTCCATTCCATGAGAGACCAATCCGAGTTTTATTCATAAATACAGGTAATAGCAAGCTATATAGATTTTAGCCGTAATGTATATTTGAGATATTTTGGTGACATGAATGACAAATTATTGTTGTAACATGCCCAACTATACTGTCAGTGGCAAAAAAACTGCGTTTTCTTTAGTTTCAGTTAATGTGAACTTGGCTCTTTACGAAAAAAAAAACGCCACACATACACATGCATATAAACTCACGTCGTCACGTGGTTGATATGGTGAAGAATATAATGATCAAGTTGGTAAGGTTACCTTAATTTTCTAGGTGAGCTTGTGCCAAGCAGCACTCGCTACAAGTAATTAAAGTAGCACTCAATGTACAATTTCTCACTGGCGAGCATGATCATATCGGTTGTTGATAGTGTGAAAAATGGCGTAAAACCTTGCGACTGAGCCTACCCTGATTTCTGCCGGGCCAGCGCTCCCAGAGATGCACCAAAAGCGGCGACAACACGAAAATCGTTTTTCGAATTATCCAGGGCCGTGGGCGCCCCTGTTAAAACCTTTAGGACACGCCTGACCGCACTGACGGATTAGGAAGAGTTGTTGGCCGTCGAGGCAGCTTGCTTTGAACGTCAAGGTGCCTCGGACAATGAGCCAAGCGTCCGAGATCCGTGTTCCTGCGCATTTCCCACGTTCTCCGTGGTTCAATCACGTCCCCGTTTCCATAAACCGTAGTCGGCCCGGTGCCGCAGACTACAGAGTTTATTTGCACATGGGACTCAATGTCTTCGCACTGTGCTGTGTCGTGAAGGTTGTGCAGTATCGTCTGCCTCGCCATGAGACGAACTGGGCGTGCCTCTTTGCTCTTTGCTGGGTTGCGAATGACGTGGTGTTTCACCTTCCCCTTTGGGGAGCGGAGGTGAAGATGGCAATTTCATTGGACTGTCCTGGCCTCCATTGTTTTTTCTGCAAAGAATCCTGGGAAGGCCAGGGCATAAAATGCGAGCGTTGAGTCGCTCCCAACATGCTCCAAGAAGCTTCCATCGAGAGCTTCCTTGATGCTACCACCATCATGTAACACGCTATATAGTATACCTGTAAATAAACGCTCCTGTTAACCGCACCGGCTCCTCTCCTCGAAATCTCCCCGGGACTTAGGCTGGCTCCGATCTTATGGGCAGACCCCGACTACATCAACTGGATGGCAGCGATGGGATGCCGCTGACAATCGGAACACATCAATAGTCTGATCAGCCGGGGTACACGAGTCGACATTTATGCACATGGCATCGTGCATCCCAGCGCTATCACTGCTGCTCGCGTCGATCATTTCCAGAATAAAACCACGCCCTCTTCGTAGGTGCAACCTTGTAGGAACGTTCGAAAGCGCTCTTGAATTGATTGATTGATTTGTGGGGTTTAACGTCCCAAAACCACCATATGATTATGAGAGACGCCGTAGTGGAGGGCTCCGGGAAAGCGTGCTTGAAGCACTCGTGTACAGTCTCGCGTGGCCTACACCAAGCAATAGCATTTGTGAGAGTTTTATCCATGGTTGCAGGTGTAATATTTGTAGGGGTGAGAAGACTGGCACGAAGTGTGGAAGGTTCCGTACTTTAAAACAAACTTTTGAAGAAAGAGACAGTGTAAAGAGGGCACGCATGGTAATATGGTATACGACCGAGGCTTCGAAATGAACTTTTTTTTTTTTAAAGCGATCTACTATAGCGTTCATCTCGTGTACACACCCAGTTCCGGAGTGAAGCGCATATAGCGTATCTGCTTGTCCCCATGTCATCATGCGTACCCCATGTCATCATGGGGCGTCATATATTCACGGTTCATCATGAGTGGGTACGCGCCACAAAAAATGGGCAAGTCCCACTGCTCGTTACCGGTCCACTGAATATTAAGAAGGCAACAGTTAGCTCGACAAATTGCCGATGGCCTTAATAACACTCTTCCATAGATGCCTTGGAGAACTGAAACCAGGCATGTGGGGATGATGATGATTGTGCCGTCCCCTCTCGAAGAGAGCGGTCAGGAGCCGTGTTTGCCTTTCATGTGCCGCCAAAGGAAGTCGGGGAGACGCTTAAGCCCATAATAGGGGCTACTTCCACGTCTTGAAAATCCTTTTTCTTTTGTTATGGCCACTTTAAACGGGCGCCGCAAACGACCTTCAGAGCGTCATAAGAGAAGAAAGTGAAAGCACTGGTCGTCGACGGAAGAAGAAATGCCAGGCGGCGGGCAGACTCACCTTACCAGCCCGAGCAACAGCACCGCTTTTTTAAGGGGGACTTACTGAGTGCTTGTGAATGTTTGTTAAAATGTGACCCCGATTCCGGTTAATTAAAGTTACTTTGTGCCCCGGACATTTCGACTACCTGGGGTTCTTTGGCGTGCACCCAAATCTGAGCACACGGGCCTGAGGCGAAAATGCAGTCGCCGCAGCCGGGATTTGATCCCACGACCTGCGGGTCAGCAGCCGTGCACAGCCACTAGAGCACAACGGCAGGACAAGAAGAAGAAGAAGAAGTAGGCAAGAAGAAGACGACGAAGAAGAAGAACAGGAGAAGAAGTTGATTCTTGGCACAGCGGGTATGTGCCACAGTTACTAGGTGAATAAAAACAAGGGGTGGGGGGAGGAAGCACAGGGTAATTCAGACGCAGTTTTTTGACGACGTAAGAGCCGGAATACCCTTGTGTCCGGTTTCAGGCTTGGACCTGCTTCTTAAACGAAATCTAAAGAAATCGTCGAAATTTGGAGGAACCTAGCTTTTGACCCAGCATTCCGTCCCCATAACGATCGTTTAAACCAGCCACAAATTCACTGATGTATTAAGCCATGGCAAAGCATTTCTCAGACTCCATTGCATCAATCATAATTAATGTCCACCAAAGTTGCTCCACGAGGCTATAATAGTATATTGTCAGTACAATAATCTTCCTCCAACATCATGTTGTATATAATATGTACATCATAATTTGCATGTCACCTTCTGTGACTTACGTTCGTCTTACAGTCAGGTCATGCAATACCAAATTTGGATACATGTCAAACCAGCGAAACGGCCGTGGGCGCACCATGAACTGCGATCGCTTTGTGGGTTGGCCGGAAAGCGGCCCAGGATGAAGGCCATGCAAGACGGTACCATAGCGGACGCACACACTCCCGAAGATTAAACGTGGAATTGTTGTAAAATTTTGTGCCCTTTGTCATTTTCGCGTTTTGATCTCTCTCTTCCAGACAAGTTCGCGAAGTGGTTCTGTAGCTAGCACGCTCAGTCGTCTCTGCACAACGTTGTCGCGCGCACGAAAGTGCCCTTTCGCTCCAAGACGGTATATTTGAAACACAAGACAACTGGAATGAAGTCAGATCTGTCTTTTAGAAGGAATGCTTGCCAACTGTCTCTCAGTTCCTGTCTATACTTACCGACCGTATGTCTTTAGCATGTCTTTTAGAAGGAATTCCGCTAGCAACTGGGCGAAAATGGTTGAGGTCTGTATACTTAGAAATTGGGCGCTCGTTAAAAAATCTCAGGATGTAGAAATTTCCGGACCCCCTCCACTATGGTGTTTCATAATCATACCGTGGTTTTGTGACGTTGAACCCTATCAATTATTACAGTTACCAACTAGCTAAGATATCTCTCTTTCTATTTCAGATTCGTGGGTGTAAAGTGCATAGGCGTGCAGCTTGTTCAATGTTCGCTCAAAGCTGCAAAAAAATAATAATTGTCACTGCTGCTGAAAGGGTAGAGCTTAGTCAAACTGCGTGAAAGCAGTTTTCTTTTTCTCTTGCCTTCTACTTCTCGCTGTAAGATTCTGTATTGTTTATGATGAAAATAGTTGATTGAATAATTGATTGATTGATTGATTGATTGATTGAATCAATCGTTGAAGCACCAATCTGATTTGTCGGTCAAACTAATGCCGTCAAACGTAAAACAAGCGGCTGCGTTGCAGCTACAGAATGAAACTCAAAAGAAGACCTTCACCATTAACCAACAATGCTAACTCAGTTTTGAGTTGACGCTTTCAGTCATCTACACGCTTCCTCGTGTAACCTCTTTAGCGCTTTCACGAGCACGAGTCGACGGCCGCGCACGCGGCACTACTGTCGTTCTTGCGCCTAAACATAACATTGGCCCCGGGGCTTTGGCAGTCCACTGGTGGGCAACCTTGATCCGCTTAAGCCTGTTAGCGCCGCTCACGAGGTGTGTCGCGCGCCGCGTCTGAGTCGATGCGTCGTCGCCAAGGCCTCGGGGAACCGGATTGATGTGTACGTCTCACCAGGAGGGGGAAGCCCTGCAGCTCGGGCCCGCTTTGTCCTTAATTGCATTACATTCGAAGGATGCGCGTCTCGGCGAGCCGCTGAAGCGCGTCGAGAGACTGCGCAACGCCGAGCACAATTCAACGGCTTCGCGACGTCCAACACCAACCCTCTCGCCCGACACGAGCACACCGGGAGCAAAAAGAGAGGCGCGCCTGGCGGTACCCGTCACACGCGTGCAGATATGTTGTGAATGCGCGTCGCACCTGACTGACTTGCCTCCGGGTGCCGTATACCGATACATGCTAGTTCGTTCGGTATAAAGAGCTTACACCGGCGTGTATAGCTGACAGGCTGTGTATTGTTTTGAACTGCGTGCAGTGCGCGCCTTCCTGTGAACCTTCTGTTGTCGCGAGGCGAGGAACTCGAAGGCCGGCGATACTTTTGGGTGATCGAATAGGAGTGTGGTGGCTCTGTGCGCTGAGTGAGGAAGGAAACGGCCACCGTCGATAATGGTGAGTGTGCACAGCTAACCTTGGGCCACCTTGTCGATTTGTTTTTCGTGAAGAAGGAGGAGGAAATGAGCGTGCCCGTGGAACGATCGCCTTCATCGACTGCCGTATAAGTTTGTTTTTTCGTCTTATTTTCGTTTGCTTTCTTTTTCACCGCTTGAAGAGAATCAGTGTCATTCACGGCTCGTTTGCAGAACTTGCGTGTAACGGAAGAGTTGACATAAGAGCTGCAAGTTTGGCTCAATATTTGCCTGATGGTCCATACATCTACTAGACTGTATGCAAGACGACTTAGCTTTGGGAACAGCATGTTCAAATGGTATAGCTTGCTTGAAGAGATTGCAAGAATGAAATAGAATATACCCTTATTCTTTGAATTACAACGTAAACAATTGAATGCACGGCAGCTCTTCAGCGTTTTAGTCAGATAAGTATGTTGCATCAGAACGGTTAACCGGCCAAGCTGGTGTCCTTGAATCTTAAACGAATGAACAACTTCGTTCTGGTTCGTTTCAAAGTAAATTTTAGTTGCGAAACGCGTCTAAATTCGGTATCGCAGGCACCTCTACAAGCGACTCTTGCGGATCTGAAGAGACCATCAAACTCGTCTTGTGCAGCTGCGCTTGCTATACGACACTCAGCGTCCAGCTCCACATGGTTCTGAACCAATTGGACTCTACACCATTTTTCGCACAGAATTAAGGTTCTGGGACCTTAGGCATGCGCTTCAAAAGCGCAAAAGCGACTAAATCGCTACTACAGTAATTGAATACAACAAATCGGAGTCACCACCTGCAGAATGCTTGTGCTCTCCAGAGTGTGCTTGTAATTATGTGTATCTTCTTTCTCCTTTACCCTTTTATTCCTTCCCCCAGTGCAGGGTAGCAAATGGACGTGTGTCTGGTTAACCTCTGTGCCTTTCCTTGCATTTTTAGCTCTATTTCTCTATCGTGGCGAGCTAAGCGCTGTTGTCTGTCGTTCCTCTTCTGGTCCCAGTTTTCCGCCGCGCTGTTTATTCGTTCAATATAGTCACAGAAAGCCTCCAATAGATTTCACGTTGATTACGTGGCCTTAGTACATATTCGGATAAACTACGTTTCATGGACAGCCCAAATTACCTAAATGAACGGCTAATTGAACTCGACAGGAGATACATTGTGTTTAAAACAGCCAATACGCCCAACTACTTCTTGAACGCAAGCAGATCGGGATTCTACGCTCAGCAGATGCTCACAAATACGCGTAAAAGGTGTGTGCGGATAGTCCATACTGAATTTTAATTTGAGAAGCCAATCGCAGGCTTGAAATAAAGATTTTTTTGCTTTTCGTCATTGTCGTTTACTTTTCCGACAGAGCTTTGTGAACCAGACTGGCTACGTTGTACGAGATTACATTTGTCCGTGTATTTCACCGCATATGGCAATTTTCGCTGTGTTGCCATTTTTATCCACAGAGTCAATGGGGTTTCGGTAGACCTGTAAGCCAATCAGAAATGAAAAGAGGGAGAAATTGGCTATACAGTGACGCTTTACAGAGTCAAAAATGACCCACTGTAAGCCTCAATAAGCTAGCATTTTGTTTTTGAAAATTTTGTGGTGAGGGTTTAAATTTTTTCAACATCTTGCCAACTTAAGACGATTTCGTTATTATTCAGGCCACAACTATAAGAGTTAAAAATAAATATGAATCAAAGGAAGCGCTGTTGAATCGCACCCACGCAAGCGCTCATAAGACAGCCGGTCGGATAAGCATTTCAAGTGAAATCGTGCAGACTTAAAACCCTGCTGTGGCTTAATATATGAATTGATGATTGAAAAACTTTGACTGCGGCTTTATTGCAGAGTTTAGTGAGTGATACTCTTTTTTGTTCGTTTTGGTTAATGACATCAGTCCGTCAGTTACACGTTATTAAACTGTATTATGTTCACTATTTTTCATGCATAAAGACATCGAAAGAACGATGCTTCTTTTATCCCGGTGAAACGCATAATCCAGCTAAAAAAGAAACGTATGAGCCTGGAAACTTATACTAATGTGAAAAGAAGTATGTTGGTACTTTGGTGCGCAAAACATACAAAATTCAAGAGAAGAACTAGATAATATAACAGGACGAGCATTCTCTTGTTGAGTGAGCGCTCGTTCTGTTTAGTTCTTCTCTTGTATCCTGCCTAGACGTTTAGTCCTTCTCTTGCATCCTGTCTAGCTGTTTAGTCCTTCTGTTGCATGTATCCTGCCTAGACGTTTAGTCCTTCTCTTGTATCCTGTCTAGCTGTTTAGTCCTCTTCTTGTACACTGTCTAGCTGTTTAGTCCTCTTGTATGCTGTCTATAGCTGTTTAGTCCTTCTCTTGTATACTGCCTAGCTGCTTAGTCCCCTTCTTGTATCCTGTCTAGCTGTTTAGTCCTTCTCTTGTATGTTTCTAACTGTTTAGTCCTTCTCTTGTGTTTTGCGCTCCTAAGTACCTACATGGATAATTTCAAACTCGCCCAAATAGCTGTGTTTGTTTGTAAAAGCGAAGCACAGACGTATTTAAGCTTGGATGTAAAAACAGCGCTAAAATGAGGACAAAGACGAAAGAAGCGACGGCGTCTCTTCTACCGTCATTGTCTCTATCCTTGCGCTGTTTTTTTTTTTACATCTAAGCATGAACTACCAATTATAGCCAAACTTTCTCTTCTAGGATGCGTATATAGCCTCTTTCATGAACTTCAGCTCTAAGAAATGTGTTATAGGTATTATCTTGGCCATCAATCATGATGATACGTTTGTGGCTTTTGCGAGAGCTATAGTATATATATATATACTACTGTACTACAGCGGCTCGATGAAAACGTGGCACCATGCGCTTTTTCAATCAGCGGCCGTGACTGTGCTATCAATGGTACTATATCATGTTCAACGTTGTTCAGTATCCTTTGACAGCATCCTCAGCGACACCCCGTGCTTGCTGAAAGCTCGTGTGCTGTCAATTCAACTCGTGCCAGACAATTTATGTGAGAGCATATGCACATCAAATTGCAACGTTATATCAAGTGCACCAGCAGGGACGGCGCCAGAGGAGAGGGGGAAGGAGGGGGGTCTGCAGACCGGTAAAATTTTCGCATGCCCCTCCCCATTGCTCCCCCCCCCTAAAAAAAGCAAACATTGTAAAAACACCAAGCACAAACGCCCCACCTGAACCCCTGATTGATATGTGGGGTTTAACGTCCCAAAACCACCATATGATTATGAGAGACGCCGTAGTGGAGGGCTCCGGAAATTCAGACCACCTGGGGTTCTTTAACGTGCACCCAAATCTGAGCACACGGGCCTACAACATTTCCGCCTCCATCGGAAATGCAGCCGCCGCAGCCGGGATACGAATCCGCGCCCTGAGGGTCAGAAGCCGTGTACCTTGGCCACTAGACCACCGTGGCGGGGCCCCACCTGAACCCCTCCCCCACAGACATGGGTACGGTTACCCTTCAACGGGGAGGGTCGGGGGGAAGGGCGAAGGCTCGTCGCGTACACCTCCTCCATATTATGTTAATGTATGTGGCTGACTTTACGTCGCCCCCCCCCCCCTCTTAGGAGATTAGGGAAGCGCTGCCCCAATGAGCAGGCCTATGTATCCCCCCCTAGAGAATTAAAGAATCGCCTTGTTGTGGGTACCCCATGAATCCCTTTTTCAACAGCATTGCTCTTAAAATAATCACTTAAATAATGGGGTAGCGGATCGGGCTATACTTTGTTTTCGTAGCTTATAGTACGAGTAAGTGGTGCAGCGTGAGACACGACAAAGAAGAAACAAGAACAAGTGCTTTGAGCCATTAAAAAAAAAACGAGTCCGAATGACCAGAAATGCGCGAAGTCTGTTCTGTTCCGTTCTAAATGGCTTGTTGTGAAAAGGTTGAGTTTATATAGCTCGGCTGATCCATTTCTGTAATTTCTGCAAGTAAACAGGCTAGGAAACTGTTTAGATACAAACTAGCTTTTCTTGGTTGTTTTTCTTTTTTTTCTTTCTTTCTTTGAATGCCGCCTAGTTTGACGTTTCAGTAAGAACTTCGCCACTGAGTCCAAAGAAGCGGCCATGAACTTTTGTAAATGTTTTCGTATGTATGACATTCTGCTGGTTTGTTCGCTGCCGCTGTCATAGCTGGCCAGCGCCCATTCACCCTCAAACGGCTCCATATAGCTAAAAAAAAACAATTATGGTATCAAAGTATGGATTCACGAGTGGTTTTGATTACTGCATTGAGCAGTATTAGAGTCCGGTTTGAATAGTGACTCTTTTTGCTCCATGATAGAATACCTGTGTTACCGTGATTTGATTTATTAATATTTGGGGTTTAACGCCCCCAAACCACCATATGATTATGAGAGACACCGTAGTGGAGGGCTCCGGAAATTTAGACCACCTGGGGTTCTTTAACGTGCACCCAAATCTGAGCACATGGACCTACATTTCATCTTTATTACAGTGTGCATTCAGTTTAGTTCACTTGTTAGTCAGTCTGTTTATAAAATTAAATAGCTACAAATTTGGTCAATTTTTTTATGTTTGAATTTTAAACAACGGCTTCTACTTTGTGCCTCACTTGCTATTTTACAGGAAAAGGCTTCCCAAACAGGCTTCAATCAGGCGCATGCAAACGAAATAATCCAAGCTAGATTTAATTAGGACAAGGGTGAGCGACATATTATGTAGAAGCGTTCAGCTGCTTTTTTGGTGGGTGTTATGTAGCGTCAAAGCACCACTCCAACCTCGCATATTGCGTGAATGCATGTTTAAGCCAACAAACCATCGCCGTCATCACCGTCATCAAAATGAACGCCGTCATCGCGCCGGCATCACTTCACTTTCGTTCACTCAGCTGTCATCATGTCATCGCCACCACGACATTGTCACTTTTGTTCTTTTTTCATATCGTCCTTACCACCCGGTTGCGCTGTGTTCACATAGTCACACGCACGCATTGAACTTAATTGGACACATTAGCAGGTTTACTAGACCACCGAAAAATCACTTCATTGAGGCAATTCATCAATAAATCGTTTCTGTCAGCAAAGAAAAAAAAAACGCTTTGATTGGGCTTGGTTGGCACGTACACCAAGATTAGAAGGCCAAGAAGTTTAACTATTTAGACGTCTATATCTTTAATTTTTATTTGTAAATTTTCAATATTTATTATTTTCTCTTGCTACGTCTCATCATTTTAAAAGACGTATATAAGCTATGTAAAAGCATTTCTTGGCCAACCCCCCAGCGTGGGTGTTTGCTACATATTCCAGGCTCTTCCTCTACTTCTTCAAGGACGACGTGTCTCCTTCATTCGGTACCTTCAAGCCTCTTATTTCGTTTTGATCATAAATCAATTATTAGTTGTTTCTTTATCAAAACCAAAGTAGGTCCTCAGTTCATCGACGGCTCTGGTGAGCCTGGGTTAATTTACCCCAGACACTTGTTCCTTATGCTGAGTCTCTTCCTGTCACCCCCAGTCTACCCTTCTGCCATTTCTGGAGCAACAGCTCTACCTGAATTCGTTTTTTTACACCACACGCCTTACGTATAAGCTCCATTACGTTACTACCTCCCCCCCTCTCTTTCGGTCCACTCTTTAAATCGCCTGACTTACGCAAGCTTCACAACGTGATTCCCTGTCCCTCCACTCCTCTCATCAGGCCACCTCCTGTCCACCCAGATCCCGTGACCTTTCTTTAGCGTGACCATTGAGCAGGTCCCTCCGAAACAGCTTCGCTAAAACATTTATAAAAGATGGAGGATGCAATATAATGCCAGATCTTACAGCCGTTTGCTTGACACGTTCGCCAAACTTCGTTAAGGCTTGTGAGGGCAAATGATGCGGGCAAATGATGCGGGCAATTGTGTGGGCAAGTGCGTCGTCTTCATTTTGCTATCGCTCGATTTACAGGAACAGGACGAGCTGGAAGAACTCAAGAGCGAATTGCAAGTACTAAACATCAAGATCAAGGTAAGAAGTATTGGTTCTTTCTGTTTCGTATGCGGTGGTCCACCTATCATTTGTCCCAGACGTACATTCTGACTTAATTACAGTACATTTAAACACATCCACCACGTCTGTGATATTTTCGTTTTCACATATTAACGCAATCTTATGAATATTTCAAGTCGTGCATGAGTGCCAACAGCTTATAGCTGTATTTGTTTCTGTACCTCGTGTATCTGCGCTTGTTAAATAGCGATGGCTTGCCGCATGCGATGGATTACCGCGTAAAAAACTGCAGGAGGGAATTCCCAAATAATTCATACGAATCTATCTATCTATCTATCTATCTATCTATCTATCTATCTATCTATCTATCTATCTATCTATCTATCTATCTATCTATCTATCTATCTATCTATCTATCTATCTATCTATCTATCTATCTATCTATCTATCTATCTATCTATCTATCTATCATCTATCTATCTATCTATCTAATATAATATAATCTACTGAAGTGTTTGGACACCGACCTTGTACTAACAGACAGAAATCAGCTCGCAAAAATGGGCGTGATTTTCCCGTGGCGTTATCAGTTCTGTCCCGGACAATATTTTACGCACTTATTTAGAAATGTGCTAAGTGCATTCGGGACGTGATCGTGTTCGTAATTCTCAAATACTTATAGCCTGTTTTTTTTTTCAATTTCTGTTTTCTCCGTCAATCATAGACTTGTCTTCGTTCCATTGGGAGTTCCGTACTTTTCTTCTTTGTTGCTTTTCCTAAGGAAAGATGTTGATCTTTCAGTGACCAACCTTTCCGCGTTTTTTTTTTTTTGTACTAATGAATACCAGATCTTGCTCATTAAAGCATGCTCCGAACGCGAGGGCAGTCTCTCTTCCATACTAGTGACGTCGACAGTCTAGGGAATACGTGGTGGATGGCTCTTATTCTGGACGAGACCTCAAAGAGAGTTACGGGTCCAAAGGTGAGTGCGCGCTTGTGCTGATTCTGCGAGACCGAAAAGATGACCCTGTTAAGAACGACTGGTGGGAAGGGCTGTTCGAAGGGAGAGACCACATCGACTTACGTCACAGTACTTTTCGGGCGTCCGTTTAAATAACGCCCTCTCCCCGCAACTGCGGGCTCAACGGGATTTCCTGAGCGGAGAGGCGTGACCCAGTCTAAACAACGCCTACGGTAAACAAAAGACGGCCGGGGCGGAGAAAGCACCCGATGTGCGCAGTGGATAGGCAGAAAATAGCCGCCGGAGGGTTCAGGCATCGTAGAAAACAGAGGAGCCCTCTCTGTAAAAACTGCCCAGCACGTTCTACAAAGCTTGTTTCCATGTAGTATTTTATGTAAAGATTAAAGACGAAGCAGCGTTCGATAAGTATGCCCTGATCAACGAGGAACGTATCTAACCGAAAGGGCAGATCTATGTCTACCGGTTGGTCTCTCGTGCTACCAAGGTGCCCAGAGAAGGTGCACAGAGGAAAATAAGAAAATACCCGGAAGAAGCACCAAGCATTACTAAGAATGAAAAATATCACAGCCTATCCACGGAGCGAATGATGATGAGTGGGGCGACGCGCTGGAGGGTTTCATCGCTAAACTGTGAACCATCCGCGAATGTCGCCTACTACATCATCAAAGACGTGGCAAACACTGTATGCATTTATACAAGAAATTTTATTATTGGTAAGTGGTAGCTGTACGTCGCTTCCGTTTCCCCTTCATTATAACGGCTTTATGGTCGGTGAAGTGATGGATAGGTGACAAGGCGTGGCGAGATGTTTGCGAGGACGAAGTAGTGGACAGTTTGCAAAGGTGGAACTATAGGCGGTCACGTAAAATCAAATGATGGACACAGCGGGAAAATATGTGGTTCTTTAACGCGCACCTGGATACAAGTACACAACCATCTTGCATTTCATATTGGCTACTTCTCAACAGTAATGGCCGTATGGTCACTGAAGTGGTGTAGTGGTGGCTATTGCACCATCGGAGGAAGGACACACCCACACCCCAAGGAGCTCCGCCCTAAAATACCAGAAATACCGGGGCACACTCCAGGCAGTTCCAACCCTCTTGTGCATGCGGGCAAATTACGCTTGTTCCAAAACATCTCGGGCTTGGTCGTCACTTTGCATTCGCATTGCGCTTTCGGCATTGAAATAATCGTATTTGTCGACCAGATTTGTTGAACGGTAGAAAATACTGAGCATGCTTTGTAATAATGGCAAGGAGATCTACGTTTAAAAGCACACTGCGTTTGGCCTGTATAGCAAGTGTCTCAAAACTAAGAACTTCATTTTCTTTATCTATTAAAGTATTTGGTGAGCCATAAGTCTGACGAGCACGAGCTGTGATGTCACATTCTGATTCTGTAGACTTCACGTGTGACATCAAATACTTCGGCAACAGCCTCCCTTTGAAGAAAAAAAAAAGTGCGCTGCTGTGCCAAAGCATGAAACAGGCAACTTTCATGCATGCGGTATACTTCCCGTGACAGGAAAGTGCTGTCAGTGAAGACATACTACGAAAAAAATTGAACGTCACTAATAACGCCATTTCTTTCACAATATTGGTGCAATAGAAACCAAGTGAAAGGACAATGACACGTCACCCCGGCTCGAATGTCCTTGTATAATTCCCGCTTGATCGCAGGAAGGACAACAGATGGCCGCTGACAAGACATTCCAGGAAGCACTCAAGGACATCGAGAAAGAGGCCAAGTTCCGGGTCAAGCAACGCCGCGTCCTCAAAGGACACATCTCGAAAGTGACCTCAGCGCACTTCTGTGGAGACAGCAAGTACGCTTGTTATACCGCGCTGGAATACGACGATCGCATTACACTTGTACACGCATGGTGAAGCCAAAGTTTCGATTGATTGATATATGGGGATTAACGTCCCAAAACCACCATATGATTATGAGAGACGCCGTAGTGGAGGGCTCCGGTAATTTCGACCACCTGGGGTTCCTTAACGTGCACCCAAGTCTGCGCACACGGGCCTACAACCTTTCCGCCTCCATCGGAAATGCAGCAGCCGCAGCCGGGATTCGATCCCGCAACCTGCGGGTCAGCAGCCGAGTACCTTAGCCACTAGACTACCGCGGCGGGGCAAACCAAAGTTTCGACAAGTGGTCTTCAATCAATCAATCAATCAATCAATCAGCTCTTCATTTCAGACAAAACGTTTCTTGAATACATGGGCAAAAGGCCGTAAACACTCAGAATTTTTTTAAAATGCTCAGCTCTTCATTTCAGACAAAACGTTTCTTGAATACATGGGCAAAAGGCCGTAAACACTCAGAATTTTCTAAAAATGGTGCGCGTGTGAACGCCAGCAATACCCACGTGCTGATGTCATTATGCAGCCCATGTAATTCCGTATACATTATGTAAAACCTCGTTGCCCCAGCTTGGCATAACCTCGCTCTAAGATCTATAAGTGCTAGAGGCAAAGTGTGCAGTCACCGTCAAAGGTTCAAATAGCACGAGACACAAGAGAAAGCTTAATATTCCCACTTCTTCGGCAGGCGCGGCCTTGAATGGAAATTTCGGGCCTGTTCTAAAACGCGCCCACAACGTATACGCTGTGCTGTTCGACAGAATACGGACACTAGTTGCTGGGAAATCGAGAATTTTCTCGGATCCGGTAGTGTCTAAACTTTGACGTCACACCTATACGTGTCTGTACCATTTTCGGCGCTGTTTCATTTCCCACTGCTTCCCCCCCCCCCCCCTAATAGTATTCCGCAGATAGCCGATTATTTTGCGTTTACTCCATCTTTCGAAACCATGAAGTTCCAGAATCGGCTGCTGAACCCCGAAGTCACGGGTTCAGCAGCTGTCACGGGTTCACCCCGAAGTTACGGGTTCAGCAATACCCGGGTATTGTGCGATGTCACGGAATGTTCAACAACAGATGGGTGAAATTTCCGGAGGGCTCCACAACGGCGTCTCTCGTAATCGTATCTTAGTTTCGGGAACGTAAAACCCCAGGTATTATTATTATTATTATTATTATTATTATTATTATTATTATTATTATTATTATTATTATTATTATTATTATTATTATTATTGAAGTCCCTGAAGCGCTGGAAGCGTACCCGAAAGCCCACAGCTTGCAATAGCTATTCTCTAACTGCTCGGCTTTTCAGTCGAGAGCACTGCTTGTTTGAACAGAGCAGCTCTCACACCGAGGCATGCGGGCTCGCTGTAGGCGGCCTGTTTTGCCCAGCCGCGCAGGGAGAAAAGCACGCGGGAGGCACGCTCCGCTGCACGCGCACGCCGACTCACGCGCGTCTCGCTTCGAGTGCGCTGTAACCGAAGTCAACGCGCCGTCGCGCGCGCCCGGAAATGGAAAACGGCACTGACGAGAAACGGAAGCCCGACGCGGTATTTATAGTGCATCCCAATGCAGTAAGAGTGCCCGCAACGAGCTGGTAGCAATTTTGTATAGGAGTTCGAAGGCAACAGGTTCCTGTACTACAACATTACCTACCACTCCTATAGCTATAGCGCATATCGAATAACATATAGACGCAGCACTCCTATACACCTAGCGAAGACATTATTGAGCCGACAGTTATTGAGGGCACTACAGTGAGAATGGAAACGGGTAAAGCGTCTCGTGTGTTTACTTGATTCTAAAAACGAATAGTATTGTGTTTGCTAGGGTCTGTCGTCTGAAACTCCCATATTTGTTATTCAAAAAAAAAACAAAACAAAGACAGAACAGCCTGTGCGTCGGGTGCACTGCAAACTAGTGCCCCAAGTACGCTGCTCAATTAATATCTATCGTGACGTCAACTTTATTCGCGTCAACCATCATGCCAATCAATCGTGTCAACTTATCCGCCCCGTTCGTCATACACTCACGTCATACTCTGCCGCTTTCTTGTTCTTCCTTTTTTTTCTGATTCGTTTAATTTTTCAGGAAGGCGGTGTCGGGATCGCTAGACGGCAAACTCATCATCTGGGATGTATTTTCGGGAAACAAGGTAAGTGAAGCTTTGTTCAGTCTCATTCAGAACCTATGCCGCAGTCATTCTGTAGGAATTCTGCTCATGCTGGTTTAATTCTTGCTCGTTGTTCTGTTTATTGCGAATTTGGTTCACCATATATGCTGGGCCTGAAATAATAACCACGTGGTCTTTAGCCAGTGCGGCTTCCTACTTTGTTTCATTTCCTCCCACCTTAAAGCTATTTTCTGAGTGTAATAATGAACCTACTATTCCATATGCGTATCCTGCTACCTTACACGCGTGAAACGGATTGGTGCGAAAAGGAGTATGAATGAAGGGTCATTTAGTCAAGAGCGCGCACAAAATTGAACCTTGTAACCTTTTTTATTCTGAAATATGCGCATTGACGCTCATTACTGCACTCGACATGACGACGAGAGTGTTGAAAGTTTCATGTAACTGCAGCTGGTCTTTCAGAGCCAAGAGTGGTAATTGAAATGAACGTTTCAGCGTAAATAAACCACGGAGTTTCAGAAATGAGCTCTCCGTCATTTGTGTGTGTGTGTGTGTGTGTGTGTGTGTGTGTGTGTGTGTGTGTGTGTGTGTGTGTGTGTGTGTGTGTGTGTGTGTGTGTGTGTGTGTGTGTGTGTGTGTGTGTGTGTGTGTGTGTGTGTGTGTGTGTGTGTGTGTGTGTGTGTGTGTGTGTGTGTGTGTGTGTGTGTGTGTGTGTGTGTGTGTGTGTGTGTGTGTGGTGTGTGTGTGTGTGTGTGTGTGTGTGTGTGTGTGTGTGTGTGTGTGTGTGTGTGTGTGTGTGTGTGTGTGTGTGTGTGTGTGTGTGTGTGTGTGTGTGTGTGTGTGTGTGTGTGTGTGTGTGTGTGTGTGTGTGTGTGTGTGTGTGTGGTGTGTGTGTGTGTGTGTGTGTGTGTGTGTGTGTGTGTGTGTGTGTGTGTGTGTGTGTGTGTGTGTGTGTGTGTGTGTGGTGTGTGTGTGTGTGTGGTGTGTGTGTGTGTGTGTGTGTGTGTGTGTGTGTGTGTGTGTGTGTGTGGTGTGTGTGTGTGTGTGTGTGTGTGTGTGTGTGTGTGTGTGTGTGTGTGTGTGTGTGTGTGTGTGTGGTGTGTGTGTGTGTGTGTGTGTGTGTGTGTGTGTGTGTGTGTGTGTGTGTGTGTGTGTGTGTGTCCAGAGCTGCGTAGGGGGTGGCACAGCAAGACCATGCCCTCCTTCCCTCCTCACGACACGACACCGTGTGTCGACCGGATCTGCCTGCCTGCCCCCGCCCAGCCACATCGGATCAAAATGTCCCCTCCCCCCACCCCGAAAAAGAACGGCATATCCACGAAGTGAATGATGATGAGTGGGCGAAGCAGTGGGATCATTCGGTGTTACCGTAAATCCTTCGTGACATTAGCCACTCACGCATGTAAATGAGTGACAAAGCGGTGTACAGTTATATAAGTGTTTATTGGTGCAAAGCATAAATGGTATGTTGTGTTGACTTGTGAATTTCTTTTTGCCTTCCTGATTAATGAGAGAGAGAACTAAAGGAAAGAGAGGGAGATGAACCAGAGGCTTCGGTTTGCTACCCTGTACTTGTGAAGGAAAAAATGCTTTGTGGTAGTGTATCTAGCCTGAAGTTGGCAAAGGCGAGGTGTGTGCACGTTCCCCAGGGGGTTGTCAGTTGTATGCAGTCCCACAAAACGCATCGAAGAACATATCGAAACGTCATCGATTGCACAAGCCAGTCGTTGTCCGTGATCATCATCGTCATCAGTGTCATCGTCATCAAGGCTAAGGCGCACGCCAACGGACAAGCCTCGACCTTAAAGTGCTTCGCCCCTAAGAAATTATGCCTGCGCCCCTGGCCCTTCCTAATGCGAGACATTGTGCACGCCTTTTAAAGTATAGGTGCCTTATAAAACGCGAAAATTTACCGGCGTTTCGCGTCGGAGGCGTCAACGCAAGTGATGAAAAAAAAAATCTACCATCACGTGATGACGTCCTCACATGGCGGCCCAGATCACCACATTTGTGACGTCATCACATCACCGCTTGGTCAAAGGTGGGTTAATCACGGAAGAAATGTAAAACCGGGTAAGATGCCTGTATTTTTGCAGGCAGCGCGAAGCTCTGTTAGGTGCGGAAAGCTTTTGATGGGTGCCGAAGTAGGATCAGTACGTCGACAGAGAAGAAATAAAAGATGGCGCTCGCCTTCTAGTCATCTTAGGTGAATGCATGAAGAACCTGCATTTCATTTTTTTTTCCTTCTTTAGGACGCAACTTCTTAGTGTCGAGCGATGTCAATCAATTCAATTTATCAATCAATTTATTCAGCTTCTTTGGATACAATGTAACATCTTTAGTAGTAAGTAATACATTCGGAGGTCCCATAGTTTCAGGAACTGACGGGGGGACCTCCTAATACTAGAACATGTGTAAGTTGAATAACGTGGGCAGCATGAAAAAAGCGTGCTCTGATAGCAAAAAAAAAAAAATACATGTATAAAATTTACAGGAAAGCTACAGGATGTCCACCGTCGTTCCTCGATGACGATGAGCCTGATGACGAGATGAAAATCAAGCGCGTTCCAGACCACATATTATTTTTATGCCATGAAAAAAAAATGATCGTGAAAGCACTCTTGCCCACAAAGGGCCCTCACGGTAGCTTTATGACTACCAGTAAAACAACATTACATATACCGTACACACATGTTTCTGCTCATTTGCATGTACAAGTGGGCACTGTATGGGCAATTCACAGCTACCCGAATGAACCCTCACCCACTGATCATCATTCCCTTTGTGGATATTCTGTGATGTATTTAACATATCTGTGATCTCTTTTAAATCATCATCACTATCATCATCATCAGCCTGACTACGTCCACTGCAGAACAAAGGCCTCTCCCATGTCCCGCCAGTCAACTCGGTTCTGTGTTTGCTGCTGCCACTTTATACCAGCAAACTTCTTAATCTCATTTGCCCACCCAACTTTCTGCCTCCCCCTTACCCGCTTGCCTTCTCTGGGAATCCAATTAGTTCTTACCCTTAATGACCAGCGGTTATCCTGTCTACGCGCTACATGCCCGGCCCATTTCTATTTCCTCTTCTTAATTTCAACTATGATATCCTTAACTCCGGTTTGCTCCCTGATCCACTCTGCACTCTTCTTGTATCTTAAGGTTACACCTACCATTTTCCTTTCCATTCCTCACTGCGTCATCGTCAATTTAAGCTGAACCCTCTTTGTGAGTATCCAGGTCTCTGCTCCGTAACTAAGTACCGGCAAGATGCAGCTGTTATATACCTTCCTCTTGAGGGATAGTGGCAATCTGCCTGTCATGATTTGAGAGTGCTTGCCAAATGTGCTCCACCCCATTCTCATTCTTCTAGTTACTTCAATCTCGTGGTTCGGCTCCGCGGTTATTACCCGTCATAAGCAGACATAGTCTTTTACAACTTCGAGTGCACTATTACCTCATTTAAATAACGTTCAAGCTAATTCAAAACACGGCTGCTGTGTTTCCAACTCCGCAGATGCGCGTCATTCCACTCCGCTCCAGCTGGGTAATGGCGTGCGCGTACGACGAGCTAGGCAACTACGTGGCCGTCGGAGGCATGGACAACATGTGCACCGTCTACGACCTGCGCGGCACCAACGCCAAGGTGCAACGAGAGCTCGCCGGCATGGATGGATACCTGTCCAGCGTGCGTTTTCTCGGAGACTCGCAGGTCATCACCGGCTCGGGAGACACGAATGTGTAAGTGCCGGGGGTCAAGATTTCCGTGCCAGAGTTTGCACGAAGTAAGGCAAGCGCGTGTCCGCGCGTAGACTGTGTGCACTTTTAAAGCTGGCTTCACAGCAGTAGCAACCTTTGTAAGGTAAAGCCTACTTTAGTGCTGTTCTTCACAAGCATTCGATCGGTTTCGTCATTGCAAAGCTTGAGTTCCCGCAATCAGGGGCCACTCCAGAATTCCCCCCCCCCCCCCCACACACACAGGATGGTTGTGGGGAGACTTGCTGTACCGAGAAATATTCCCCGCGGGGACAGCGGCATCCATGAAGTCGGGTTTCTGGCGCTTCAGGGAATCCGACGGAGAGAACGGCGAAGCAACATGGCTTTCGTAATGCCGAGGGGCACCACCAGGAATTTTTTTAACTAGCTAGACACTCACGACAAGGTATGTTCCTACAGGATGAGGCTGGGAAGGGGCGGGGGTTAGAAGTAAGGACAGGCGAAAATTTTAGAGGTGAAGCACGCTCCCCTCTGGCGTCGCTCCTGCGTGATGCACCTATGCATGCGCATGAAGCAAACTTCCAGCATGTAGCCCAGCCAGCTTTTGTTCTGAGCCATGACGTAGTGCACAGCTAGTTGGGTAAACGTGCAACGCAAATAAACGCACCTGGAAGTAATAAGTGCGGCCTACTGCCGGTATTTAGGAGTGCTCATTTTCGTTTCCATTCACGTCCACGTTACTACAACCGAACCTATTTTCAGCGAAAATTTCAGTCGGTATCGTTAAGTACATATAAATGTTTCAAATAATTACCCACAAGGCTTAATCACTGCTAAAACTTTTGGAGCTGAAACGATAGGATCGTCAAAGTTTCAATAACACGTATGCACTTTCGACAATCAGTCACGTAAATGTGCCCACAGTTACGCTGTCGCAGTACCACTGTCTCTTGACAGTTGATAGCGTAAAAACTACAATGTGCTCTTCGGGCTGCACTGTGCGGGTACGTGCCAGTGGTGATTGACAGTTCATATGTACCCGTGAACGACGAGGGAAGACATCATTAATTTTAATGCGAGAGTGTTAGGAGTAAGCTGTCATCGGCAACGTTGGCCCGACGAACGCAAAGAATAGGTGTTACAATCCCAGCAGTAATTGAACTCATGCATTCTGCGTGGCAATCCAGTATTCTACCACATAGACACCAGGTCTCGAAACCGCTATGAAATAAGACCCTACGCAGGCTTAATTTTGGTGAAACGTCGATTGAGGTTGCAGTGCTGGCGATCTAATTTTTTAAACATCACATATGTACTCCTATGATACAAGCGTCACGTTGAGTTAGCGTCAGTTGTAGTTACACACCATTCACTGAAGTCTACGTAGCACTAGTCCGGGCAAACATCCTCGCAAGCGCAAGCGCAAGCGCTGCATATAAACTTACCGCTTCTCGTGTTGATAATACCTATATTTTTATGGCATTGTTACGCAAGTGCAGTGAAATGCTTGTAAAAAAACATAGGCTAACATTCAACGTGTGTCTGTGCGTACAGAATTTGCGCATATCTTTAGCGTCATTTCGTAACGTTTCACTGAATTAAAAAAAAAATCACACCACGTTCACCTTTCCTCCGCACGCTTCGCATAACATCGATTCCCGTGGTACGTGGGACCTGCGGGACTTTTTATGGTGTACATTTGCAATTTTTAGCGTACTTTAGCAGTCAAGGCACCCTTCAGCTTTGCGCCTCGAATTTGCTGCTATGGCAACAGTTCTAACAACACAGAAATGATTCACCCATCACACGCGCCGCTTGTAAGATTTAATTGCTTTGACTCAAAACGCTGTTTTTGTTTCATTTTTTTTTCTCTCAAACTTGCTGCACTACACTTGATAATACCCTTGTTTCAGCATTATTTTGCTCACGCAGTGTCCTGTGGGACTTGGAAAGGGGGCAGAAAGTCGTGACGTTCGAGGCTCACGAGGGTGACGTCATAACTCTGTCCTTGAGTCCCGACAAAAAGACCTTCGTTACCGGATCTGTGGACAACACAGCACGGGTAACGCACATCCCCACTTCGAAATTAATCGTCATTTTACTTAGCGCAAACTGATAAGTGGCACCCGTTGCATTTCTAGCAGACCCACTGAATTAGAGGACAGGAAGAGATGTAAACAAGACATGCACTGAGAAATCAACATGTGCTCTGTTGTGCATCTATAATTGTCTTTCTCTGAGTCTTCGCCATCCTCTTGTTCAATGTTGCTGCTCGAATCGCGTCGTCGTCAACTAAACCTCTTTAACCACCTAAGTACGGTGATCACTTTGGCTGGATTGAATGCGTTAAAATGTGTCAATTGTTATCACCGAAGCCAGGCATATGCTACGCGATACGCCCCTTACGAGTTTGTCTGCGACAGGGCTTTAGAACATCAATATATAAACAGCACAACGGTAAGCATTTCCGAAACTTATCGGCCGCATACATGCAATAAACTCCATGTAAGAAAACCCATATGTTTGAGCATGTTGATAGCTCAAGTCGCCTTTTTTGGCGCACAAAACAAACAAGAACTAAAAAGAATGACGCGTATCCGTGTCGTTCTTCTCGGTGGTCGTCCATTTTGCGCGCTAAAGTGGTGTCCATGCGGGAGTTATCTTTACGTGCCACATATGCCGAAACAATGCCTTGTAACACCAGGATTGGTTAACCGATTTCTCCTAGAGTAGTTATCTAATAAAAGAGTGAATAGATACAGCACCGAGCTTGGTTAATTCAGCATGACTCTGCGCCGAAACAAGAGAGAGAATAAGCGCCTTTATAATATGAAAAGAGAAGTCAGGAGAGGCGCCCTTAGACTCGGGAGCCTCAAGCTCGGATAGCGTCCTGGGCCCTCGCGGCCGATCATCGTGAGCGAAGCTCTCGGATTACCTTAGTCTTCACCTCGGCCTCCGCGGAAACGAACAGTCACGTTAACTGAATGCGTTCGCGTGTACTTGTCTGGGCTAACACGGGTGTTCCTGCAGCGACGCTCTCGCCTTGTTCGATGCAGCTCTGGGACATCCGCCAGAAGGAATGCCGCCAGACGTTTCGGGAACACGAAGGTGACGTCAGCTCGGTCTGCGTAAGTATGCGCGTCCCCCGCCATCTTGTGGTCGAGATTATAATTTAGCAAGTCAGGATTCAGATTAGGATGTTGTATAGGTAGCCGGCGGATCTATGCGTACCTTGCGAAATTTGCTGGCAATTGCATCTCCCAGCAGGTCAACGGCTCGTGCAAGCTGTTGTTCTCGAGTAGATTTTTATCATATAACGGTAGTGCGCAGAAAAAAAAAACGATTGCACGGAGAAATGAACACGAAACACGGCGAAGATGCGTTCCAAGATGATTTACATACCAACTCGCCCAGCACTCCGCACTTTTAAAGTGTAGTTCCCTCTGCTAAGACACCCCTCTGCACAACAGGCGCACAGCTTGATTGGGGATGATAGCCATCACAGGGGACGCCCAGTCAGCTTCGTTTACGGCAATATCACAGCAAATAGACATACGGCCATTCAAATGCGGGTGCGGGACTCGGTGGACGCACGTGCTTCTGAAGGCTTCTATATTCAAACAAGGCGCGAAAGGGATGGACCTCATGCATTATCCTACAACTGCAATATACTAGTTCTTAGACACGGTGCTGCGCTAGTTCAGTAGAGTAATGATTGTCTGACTATACGTTAGGCTGTTTAACTCTTTATTGTACTATTTACACATGACTGCGTTCTGTGAGCTTGCAGGAACGCGTTTCAGCCTCTGCAACATCTGGTGTTCTTTCTCGACACCGAGTGTAACGTGAGACAGTGTTTATATTAACCGCGCGTTCCAGCAGCATACCAGGGTCGCTAGTTGCTATAGACACAGGCGGTGGATGCGAAACTAGTCAAATAGCAACTGTTTTTGCACGTACCACTTCAACAGCTCCCTGTGTTGTTCGTATTATTTTCACAGAAACACTTTCAGGGAGAGGGGGGGGGGGAAGTCCTTGACAAGTACACAGCAATATTTACGACGACTTTGGTACGAACTTCGCGAAGACGAAATGCCCGCGGTAATGTGCGCAGCGGGGCTTACCTGCCATCTATTCAGTGCTCAACCTTCTTACGCGCAGTTCCACACCGGTGGTAACGTGTTCGCGACGGCCTCGGAAGACAAGTCGTGCAGGCTGTTCGACGTGCGCAGCGACCAGCAGCTGAGCCGCTACCAGAACCCGCGCGAGTCGTCCGCCTTCACGAGCTGCGGCTTATCGCTCTCCGGAAGGCTGCTCTTCGCCGGCGCCGACGACCACGACGTCCACGTCTGGGACACCCTGTCCACGCGTAGAGTCGGTGAGCGCCTTGAACTCGCTATGGCGTTAAACGCCAACTTCATACGGGCGTAGCGAGGGTGTTAAAGGGGTCCTGAACAATCCATCACGCAGGGTGAAAAAAACTCCCAAGCATTTCCCCGAGGGTGAACATGGTCAAGTGCGAATACACGGGGTGATGCTATGAGGGGTATTTATTATTTCGCACTATTATATTTATTAATCACACTATGGTGCCTTTATGGTGTAATGGTTCCTGGGAATCGCAATTTGATCACACGGGGGAGTTTACGTTAACTCACTGGCGAATGCCAACGGATTTTAACTTTACTCCCCCTCACGACCCGCTCTCGACGGGAGACTGAGAGAGAAGGCGGGCGCGCGAGAGAGAGGGGTGCGCGCGCAGCTGCAGCGAGCGAGGAGAGCGGAGGAGCGAGCGAAGGGGGAGGAGGTATAAGGCGCGTTACTGACACCGATATCAGCGTCGCGTCCGTGGCTTATTCGGTAGAGCGTCGCGCTGCGGCCCGCCAAGTCCTCTTTCTTTTAAAGATAGAGAGAAGACTGCGGACGCCGCCGACGGCGGTGGATGGTTTGGGGTCGCTTATAAAGTGTATTCACACTTAAAAAAACCCCGCATACAGCGGATAGCAGACACCACTATGAACAGCTCAGCCAAATCTGTCAGTCGTGCGCAGCTATAGGAGGGTTCACAAGCGCAGCGCTAAGTTGTCACTTCATCAAGCGCCCTTTCTTCATACAGAGGCCCATACATAGGTCCCGTGCTCCTCGGAGCAGTGGCGTAGCTGCAGGGTGAAGCACACGGGCACGTGTAATGTCAAAGCACGAGACGAAGCCGCCATTGCTTACTTAGCAGTGCACAATCACAACAGCTATGGCACTGTGGCCGGTTACAAGTGAATTAAAATTCGGTTTTGACACGACGTATTCCCTGAGTAACTTTAGTCCTGCTGTCCATGGTCTCTTGTTATAACCTCCATTGTATTTCAGAAGTGGGAAAGGTCGCGCGTAACGATGGAGTGTGAAGACGAAAATCGTCTATTCTGTTTTACACCGAAAGCTGTTATAAACCCCACAACAATTAAGGGTCGTTGCGCCGTAGTTGTCCACCACCGCCAGTGTCCGTAACCACTATCACGCGAAATAAGAAAAAAGAATTAATAAATAAAAACACCGAGGACGGACTGGAACTTGAGCCCGGGTACCATGCGTGCCAGCCCACTATTCTACCACAGAGCCATGCCGAGGCTTGAACCTCGATTGCAATCTGGCCTTACAGGCAGGCTTGATATCGGGAAAGGAGTCGGGTTAACTTGACTAATAAAGCTTTAGAAAATCAAGAGAACAACCAGGCGTCACACAATGCGAATTGCGTAACGAGTGATTCAACCCATTACAACAGCGTTAGGCATAATTCTTCTTCGTGGTCAGCCACAGCATCGAAAGAGTGCACAAAATTCCCTGCAAGTGTTTAGCGGGTACCACGTTTCTCCGGATAATGACGAATGTATGGCATAGCGGATGCCTCCCTACTACAAAAAAAAACATTATTGATGGCGTAGCGGGTACCCTACAAGCGTGGTTGTAGCCGCTACTCGGAGAGTTTTGAAAAAAAAAATGGCTCCAGAAAGGCCGCTCTTCCAGCTTTCCCTGTGACAGTATTGCGCGTTTCACGCAGGCCACGGTGGGTTTTTTACTGTTTTTACTTTTTTTGCTAGCACGAGGCGCGTTCTCAGTGGAGTTCACGAGCCCAGCACCGCGCGTCACCGCCCCACATGCACTACAACATGGAAGCAATGACGAGCACGGCACAACGCAAGATCGAGTAGGACCGAAGTCACGAAGTTCCGCTCTGATCAACGTGGGTATAGAGAAAGCCCCTTGAGAACGCGATCGATTGCTCTTCCAAATGAAGTGTAGACATAATAATGCAGTTGGTCGAATAATCAACTTGCCGTATGTGGGAGCCAACCCAGATTTTGTACCTTAATTGCATTCGCCAAACCAATCTGATTGTCTAGTTTAGTTTTGAATGGTGTATTAATATGGCGTGTTTGCAGTGGCCGAGTGAATTATTTATAGACTTTTGCTGCGTATGTTCATTGTTCATCTCCCGTAACACCGCTGGCTAAGAGCTCTATTAGTCGTCTGTTTATGTGATGTGACAGTGTACAACTTTCCATTTTTTGTTGTTGCCCCTCCTGCTAGGGCCTAAGTATATACCTGCAGAACCTGTAAACAAAAAAAATAGCACCTTAGTGGTATTGTGTCTATTAGAAACAGCCTAAAAAGGTCATTTAAACGGACTAAAACACCCATACAATGAATGTTTTCAGTAACCTTGTACCCTTTTCCGCAAAAAAAAGCACTCAAAGAAGGGCATGTTTGGGGAGTATATAAGACACAATAATCTCGCGAGTCCTTACCAGCTAATCCAGTGTCTTGCCGCAGCTCTACTGATCACCTATGACGAGTGATACAAGCCCGCAGTCCCACCGGCAGTAGTAGCATCCATAAGTGCGAATGTATATGCCACAATCACGTTAAAGTGCTGCACAATGGCACCCATGTTGGTACTATAGGGCATCGTTGCGTTGTAGGTTCGAATCCAGGAAAACGGTTGTCTAACCAACCCTATACTTGCGCTATCGTCGCGCGGCCGGTACGTCTGAAGTCGGGTACAGCGTGCGGAAAAGTATTATTTTTGAACATTCTTGATAAAAAGAAAAAACAAATCACGCACTGATGTACAGTTCTTATGTATGCGCCCTGGTGCAGTTCTAAATTTTCAGCTTGATGCAGCTCCACTACCAAGAAACCCGAGGTAGTGCGTATAGCCCTGGCATTCGCGTTTTTTGCCGAGGCGGTAGCGCATGCAGTCTCTTGCACGGCGCGGGAGTAGCGCGATGTACCAAGTGTTTTTCGCGATTTTAGGTCAATTACCGAGATTGATAATTTGTTATCTCACAAGTAAGTTATTTTAGAAGTGATTTATTTTTGCGCCGGTTTCAAGCACTGCTAGCCGTGTCTCAAGCCTGTGTTAATCATTGCGTGGCCATGCGACATGAAACAATGTGTGTACAAGCCAAGCATTTAAGCGCTACAATATTTAAATTTAAAAAAATGTGCCAGCGCAATTTTGTGCACGGTAGATTAAAAAAAACAACTACACGAGATAACTGTATGACGGACGAACTCACCGAATACTCCCTTTCGTTTTACGATGAAGACAATTATGCCTAGTTCACACTGAAACACCCGCTTTCTACAGCGACCGAAATTCCCCTGCCGGCGAAACACAGCGTCGTTCGCACCGGACGCGACCCGCGCCGCCGAATATGCCATCTACTACGGGGCGAACGCGGGATGGATGCGCTGTCACCCGGTTGTTGTCGCGGCTCGCAAACGCTACTACGCTATCCAGTGGCGCATACTTTGACGATTCTCGTACGCAAGAAGCAAGAAAAGACAGTACTGCTCACTTTGCTGGCAAGTGGCTGTCTTGTAATGCACGAAGAGCAGAAAAACCTCCGACGCCAGCGGCGTTGGTGGGTTCATTTTGCTCTGCAAGACCGCAACAAGCTCGGTCTTGCCAACAGCAAGCTCGGTCACCTCTTTCACGAAATACGGAGGCGAAGTAGGCACAGAGTAGGTTAAACTCCCGTTGGTTTCAACATTCAGTTACGTGCACTGCAGCATAACAAGTGAGTAGGGCTTGGCCGCCCTTTTTCAAAATTCCTTGACTAGCGCTCCTATCCGCACAATTGTGAGAGAAGAACTTCACGGCCTTATTCCAGACAACCCTACCGTTGCGTCTGTCCATACACATCCTCCTAACCTTCGAGAGATAATCAAAGACGAACTGGCATCAATGGCAAGCGCTGCACATGCCCCGTCTCCTGCGCGCTTCCCGGTGCCTTCGTACGCAGAAGTTGCATCGCGGGCCCCTGCACCAGTTCCAACCGTGCCTGCGGACGTCGGATGTGACCATGTGGCTGCGATGACAACGCAAGCGCCAAGGCCACGCCACTATTCTACATGGCGTCCTCCGCGCCCCATCTGCTTCTACTGTGGCATAAAAGGTCATATATCCCGTTTCTGCCGCCGCCGTCAGCAGGATGAACGACGTGGTTACTCCGCTAACGAGAGAGACTATGCATTGAGACCCGATGAATACGATCCCACACCGTATCCATCCACTTCCCGTCAGTCGCCCTCCCCTCCACGATCTCATGCTGGTCCTCATCCTTCTCGTTCATCTCGCCGCCGTTCTCCGTCACCGTTTCGGCGTACGTCATCACCCCTGCGCCCGCTCCGATCTCTCTGGACTCGGAAAACTAGAAGGTGCAGTTTTTGGAGGGGAAACTGCTTGTTGTCGGAACGTTACAACTCCTCCATCTCGTCCAGCTAATTAACTGCCTGTTTGTGTGGAAGGTGTTTTTGTTGACGCCCTTATAGACACTGGAGCCGATATTTCGGTAATTGATCGTGAATTGTGTTTTCGCCTGCGTAAAGTGCAAACTCCTTATGCCGGTCCCATGTTATGCGGCGCAAATGACAGTCCGATTCTCCCGACCGGGTTGTGCACTGCTCGTGTTCTCATCGATGGAATCCGTCATCACATACAATTGGCTGTGCTGTCTTCGTGCGCTCATCAGATAATCTTAGGCTGGGACTTCTTGTCAGCGGCGTCTGCCGTAATTTCGTGTGGTCGGCCCCTCATTCGTATAACGGACACTGAGCTTTCTTCTGCGGCCGACCTTTCGTCGCCCAACCTTGTGACAGCTGCGGATTTCCTCCTGCTTCCCGGACAAGAACGTGTCCTTACGATCAAGTCACGAGACATTCTAGATGGTGACGCTGTGGTTGTTCCTTGCCAGCGCTGCATTTTTCGAGGGATCACCATCGCATCTTGTTTAGTGCGGTTCTCCCGTGGTTATGCAAGCATCACGGCCTGCAACACGACGCCAGAACCACTTCTTTTGCCAGAGGGGACCACTTTTG